GGTCCTGCCAGAGGAAAGAAGAGCAGGGTCGTTGAGCTGTCTGACTTCGGTGAAAACGATAACGAGCAAAACACCATTAGGAAATGACAGCCCCATGGTCTTTTCTGGTAGCCTACGTGAAAAGATTGATGGCGATGTGATCCCTGGCAATGCGATCCCCAGCAACGCGTGGAAGAGCCGGAAGAGCCTCAGCAAGCTCCCTCCAAAAAGCAGGAGAAAAATTAGATCAAAGCGACCCCCATCACCCCTAAAACACAAAGACGGGGGAGACGGTGCCATAGATTCGGTGTTACGGCATCCGATTCCTGTCTGGTGCCCTGAGAGGGTGAACTGCTCCCTTTAAAGTTGGAGGCGTTTCTAGGGGCGGTGGCCAGGGTCCAGAAGAGCCGAGGGGTACGGGAAGTCAGTCCCTTTATTGGGTGTAACGGCTCCCAGATCTTCTCCTCCCTCCACCCAAAATCAAACGGAAACGCACAAATGAAATTTATACCTCCCCAAACAATGTTAACTGCACATGGTACTAATTAGCACTCCCCTAAATGGCTGTGATTAGTTTACCAGCTGATGGAATATTTACACTAGGATTTTTTTCTTTTTTTTTTTTTTTTTTAAATCCAACACAACACACACACGAAACGCTATTTATTTATTTATTTTACAAATTCCTGCCGCTGGTTGTGCTGAAAATGTGACTCACGCAGCGGGAGCTGAAAGTGGAGTGGCTCTTCTACCAAAAAAACAGATTAAAGCACAGGAAACACAGCTTGCGAGAACAGGCAGGCGCTTCGAAAGCCATTTGCAACACCAAGTTAACAAATAACTCTGGGCTCGAAGTATGATAAATTAACAATTTTAAAATAATACAACCTCCCCCCCCCTCGCCTTGCGAGAGCGGTCTTTCTGTGATGCTCCGCCAGCTCTTCACATCACCGCTTTTGCCAGACTGGTAGGTTCCAGTTCAGTCATAAATTGCTCGATGTTGGACGTGCAGTAGAACGGAGGTGCCGGGCGTCCCTCGGCTTTCCCTGCCCCAGTGTTTCGGAAGGCGAATCCTGTACAGAGCTCCGGGAACCTCTGCTCCCATCGCTAATCCGCGCCTGCCTCCCTTTGGACAGGCCTGGCCACTTCCCTTCCCAACAAACCTCTTTCCCCCCCTCTCCCCTGCTTGTTTGCTTTTCAGAAAGCTGATTCAGCCTTAAAGCCGAGCGGGCTGCAACGCCCGGCAGCGGCGTTTTGCATTCTGCCCCCGCCGCCCGGGAGAAAGGCGAATAAACTGCGATGAAATCACTCATTTGCAGCCACGATGAGCCCTTATTTTTATTAATTTTTTTTTTTTTTTGGCTTTTTTTCTTGCGCAGCCCCCCCTTAGGCAGGAGAGGGGGAGCAACGGTTAACGGGGAGCTGCCGGGGCGCCTGGCGTTGCGTTTCACACACGATACCCGTATTTGATCAGCCCCGAACGAGGGGGCGAGCGGGGCTGGGGGCAGGCCCCCTCCCTGGGGGGTTTCAGGGGTCCCCATGGGGAGGGGGTGGGCAGGGATGGTGTGCTGGGGGGG